TCAAAGAAAATAGAATAGCTACTTATGCTAAAAACGTATATGTATATACAGGGTGTCTCATTTTAAGTGATGCACCTGAATATCTCAAAGTAAAAAAGATGGAAAAAATGTTTCAGATAAAAGTAATTTGACTCAAAGGGAAATATAAGATAATGATATTGGTCTGACCTTGGATAATTGTTTAAAGGTCACATTATCTTATATTAGTATTATCTTATATTCCCCTTTGAGTCAAATAACTTTTATCTGAAACATTTTTTCCAATCTCTTTTATTTTAAGAGATATTCAGCTGCATCACTTAAAATGAAATACTCTGTATATATAGATATGTACAGAGAGAGAAAGAGAGAGAGAGAGAGAGAGAGAGAGAGAGAGAAAAGAAAATAATAAAAAATATATATATTTAAAGCTTAAAGATTTGTGTATGTGTATGCGCGCGCGCGTACTTGTGTGCGTGCGTGCGTATGTGTGTACATTTTTTACTTTTAAACTTCCCAACTTTTTATATTTAATCAAGATAATATATTTTTCTTCTAATAAAAAATTTAGAAAATACAAGTGTAAATTAAATCTTTCTAAACGTAATCTTTCTCTACAGGATATCAGATAAATTTTCTGATTGTACTAAAAACAATAAAACTCGATGCTCCTCTCGGATCGCATTTATTTTAAAATATTAAAAAAAAAATATATATATATATGTATATATATTAGAAGAACTTATATATATATATATATATATATATATATATATATATATATATAAGCTTCTTCTAATATAAAATCTAATAATATATTCAAGCATGCATTTGCTATATGTGACTATATGATTATATATAAAAGTGCAAGTAAAAGATAAAAATTTTCATTCTATGCTGTATATATACTGTATACATACTGTAAGAGAATAGAAGTTAAAAAGCTTTTCCAGAATGAAACAATGCAGTCTTAATATATCTCCAAAATAGAAGAGGTTCAATTGTATGTACAGAAATTCAGCTTACCCATTCCAGTTATAACATATCATATGGCTAATAATATACCATGTGCCTGGTTGTGGATATACTATTGAAAAATTTGTATTGTGCTTGTTTAATGACGACAGATTCATCGATAAAGTTTCACTTTGACAAGAATGGAGGTTTCCTAATTTAGGTATACGATCTCTTTGAATGCATATTGTAATCAAAGCCGATTGATGTTGTATTGAAGGCAGCTAAAAAAATACAAACATATATGTAATGTTAATTATGATACAGGATTATAATCAGGATTATAATCATAGATTATTACCCTCGGATTTCTTATTGCTTACGACTTGCACTTATTCTTGTATTGCTATCTCGCTACTTCACATTTGTGTAATTATATGACATTGCATAGAATAAAGGAATAAAAGATAGAGAAGATTACACATAACATTTTCTTTCTTTGTCACTTTGTTATCTCATGACAAATGCGAGTAGTGAACAGTTAGTGAATGACACAAAAAGAGAAAATTCAGACTAAAGAAAATATTTGATGAGTTTAAGATAAGGAGACTTTTTAAACTTTGTGTGTGAGGTAATCATGTAATTACATTAAAGACTTAAAAGTGAGAAAAAAGTTCGAAAAAATCTAGTATCTTAACATATAAAGAAGTAAAAAGATAAATATTAAAATTTAATAATATAATATAATATAATATAATTATAATATAATATAATATAATATAATATAATTTAATAATATAATATAATAATGTAACAAATAGCAATAAACTTTTAATAAAGAATAAAGTCAAAAATAAAGTCTACAAATATATTTTTATTTACCTTTTCTACTTCTGAATGTATGTCGATATCAAGTGTGCCACCAATATCGATTAATGGCAAAATATCAAATTGCATTATTGTCGGAGTTGCATCTGATAATATTAACTGTGAACTTAACCACTCTTTTCTCTGAAAAATATCAATAATAAACTATAAATATAAATATTGATATTATAACTACTTTGAAAAACGATTTTCTTATGTTTATTACAAACAACATATTTTTCTTATATATATTTAAAATCTACATAGAAAATATATATTGCGTATATTTTAATTAATTAATCATAATATATATATATATATATATATATATATATATATATATATATGTGTGTGTGTGTATATTAATATCAAAACATTAAATAAATTGATTTAGCAAATAAAAAACAATAAAAAATTTTAATTTTAAAAATATAATTTTGAGATCTTAATAAGTAATTAAAATATGTATATTTCTCTTTCTCTCTTTGTAGACAAATTCGAATAAACTTTAATAAATTTATAATTTAAAATTTGTTTTTAAGATAACTAATATGAAAATATTAATAGATGATATTATTTTTCATCAAGTCGATAGAAAAAATTATTATTATTTCAAATTGATTAAAAGAGAAATCTGTAAAGAAAATAGTTGATACATGCACGCGCACGAGTATTTTATAATTCTCATTATTATGTATACGTATTTTAGCAAATATTACCTGCAAGAGATAAACAATTGAAAATGTCTCTGCATGTTTTACGCGCACCAATTGATACCTTGGCATACATTCATTATCAATCTCATATTCTTCATTTTTTTGATAAAGTTTGTTTCTATTGTAAAATCGGCTAACATTATTTTCTTTATACGACCACTTGTATTTTAATACATCTTTGGTATTTGATCCCGTTACGGAATTAAAATTTAAAAAAGTACCGATATATTTTCTTGTAAAAGATGTATCTGTTAATCTAACTGGGCACTCTAAAATCATTTATTACTTATTTCATTATATTTGTGCAAAATAATCTATAAATAAATATAAAATAGCTATATAATTATTAATCAACAATAACTTTCTTTATTTTAAACTCTTTATTCTAAACTCATCTTCTGAATTAACTATTTCTCTATTCTGAATTAACGCAGTTCTTTTTAAACTAAATTTCTTCTTTTATATTGTCCTCTCACTAAACATAATTTAACAAGTGATCAAATAATCGTATTAAGATATGAATACGCATTTTCTGTCTCCATTCGTTTTCTATTCTTATCTTTCATATATCATAATAAAAATAAGAGTGGAAACTATATAGAAAAAGAAAGGGGAAGAGGGAAAAAGAGAGAAAATTCAGAATAGAGAAAATGCTCAAGAAGATTAAAAAAGACAAATTTGATTGAAAAATCTGATTGCATGTTAAAAGTCATTTTTAAAAAAACACTATGAAGTAAAGATTACAAATGTAAAATTTAATATTTTCCAACGTATCATATTTTATATCCACTTTTTTCTGCGATTATTGTAATAAAAAGTTTCAAATTTTTTCAATAAATTTTTGTGCGAACACTGCAAGAAGAGCTTTACAATATTCTTGTATACTTGTTATAACATTTCATTCATAACATTCTTAAAACTCTTCAAAGACAAGTATTGTAACATTTTTGTCTACAATAATATGCACGTTCATAGAAACATTTCTCATTATATTAGAATTGAGAAATATGTGTATCAGTAATTTGCATATTTATACATTGTATTCGGACTTTTCAGAAAATCAATAAATAAATAAATAAATAAATATATATATATATATATATTTATTTATTTATTTATTTATTAGAAATTACCTAATATATCGACTTTGACGTTAAACTCGATAACACTTTTCGAAATGACTAATAAATAGTAATAACTATCTTCATAAGGAGAAAGTTCTGTAAAAGTATAACTAGCATTTGTAGTTAAATATTTGGATTCCTTGCGATAAAGATGGTTAAGTATTGGCAAAGCACGTCCTTTTAGAGACATAGTTTCAATACAAGGTTCGCGAATATCTTGAATATTGTGTAACAAGAAATTACAGTTCCAAACTGATAAACGGAAGCTCCATACTCCTGATGGAATATATATTCTAAATAGAAAAAAATAATTAATATAAATGTTTTTAATCTTATTGGAAAAAAATGCTTCATAAAATAGTGCAACAGATATTTATTTTCATGGTGTGATTATTTTAAATTTTTGCCAAATTTTTACATTGAACCATGTTAAATTACATTGCATTAAATTGCATATATAATAAATAATAAATAATGATTTATATACATATATACACATTTTCTCTTATGAAAAAAAGAAAGAAATAAAAAATAGAAAAGAAATAGAAAATAAATATCATAATAAACATTAATTACAATAAATAATAAATTATATATAATTATATATATGTGTGTGTGTGTGTGTGTGTGTGTGTTGTATAAAATATTATAATCATATATAATTGTTATATAAGTATCATATATTTTATTAAATACTTAGTGTTTTTTCATAAATAACGATAATCTTACTTGTAGTATGTTGTAGTTGTGCTCGTTTGGAATGTCATTTGATAACCAACGGAAATATTCTCAATATTATCCACTTGAGACCATAGTGCTACTGTGCCTATACTGTATCGACATTTATGTCCAAGTCCCTGAAATACAAATGGCAAGAAAAATGAGTCACACAAATAAAAGAATTATGGAAAATCGCTTAACATTAATTCTAATTAATATTAATAAACAAAAATTAATATTAATGAGTCACACAAATAAAAGAATTATGAAAAATCGCTTAACATTAATTCTAATTAATATTAATAAACAAAAATAATATTAATAAACAAATTATTGAGAAGTCTAGTGTACAATTAAGTTATATTACATATTATTCACTATTTAGATCTCATGTAATTTATTATACAATTAGACTGTTACATATCCTTCTCTTTGAGACATTTTCTTGTATCTTTCACAATTTTTGCTAATCACTTTTCCTCTTACATTGTTTTTCTACCATATTATAATAAAATTAAAAAAATTTTAGCAATATAGTACATAATGAATATAAATTTTCAACAGAAAAAAGTTACCCAGCACACTCTTGTTATTAATTCCCAATTACACTTGTTTTTTCTTTTTCTTTTTGAATGAGAGAATGCTTTCAACTCGCGCAAAAAGCCAATGGCATATATGTACAAAAACGAAAAGCAAATCAATATTTTTGATTTGCTTACTGCTAATGTTTTTTTTGCATAAAGCCATGAGCCTTACATTTATCAAGCATATCATATTAGCAAATATGAGGCTGCACCATCATTCCTACCTCATTCTGCCTATTATAACGATATTATGAAATAGCACCACATTATATATAATGTTGGGAAAAATATATAAAAGTCAAAATAATATAGAAAAAAATACTAAAAATATGATGAGAAAAATAATGAAGTTACCCAAAAGAAGCTTATTAGGATCATACCATAGTTTATCAATTATTTTATGCAGATGTGATTTATGTTTATTATATCTCTTGGCAAAAATTAAAAAGAATATAAAAAATAGCAAAGCTGCTAAACTCCAATGAGAGTAAAAAAATATAAAAGCCTAATTGTATATTTTATATTTTTATATAATTATCTTAATATGTATAAGTTTAAACAGATAATTATTATTCAATAAGCATGTTTCTTATATTAAAATAATAACAATAATAATATTAATTTCAATTATTTGCACTTAAATTCGCATTAAAAAGACAAAATCATTGCACCTGTTGTTGTACTCTCTCGTCCCAATAGGACATATAAGCTGCTACAAACCAATCCCCAGATTGAGGTCCATAAACTGGAAGAATAGTTGCATTTTTTTGTTGATATGTTGTGGTCGTAGTAATTACAATACTATCATCCTGTTTGGTATAAGCACTTGTTGGAAATATTCCATTATTTAAAGTTATTATTGGATAACTACCGACTTTCAAATGTCTGAAAATTGTAATTAGATATCTCTGTCCTTATATTTCATTTTTTTTTATTTTCTTAAAATAATTTACTCTAATTAATTTTTTATTATTTTTTTATATTGTGTGTGTGTGTATATATATATATATATAATTATTTTACTAGAAGATCATAATCGAGAAAGAATATTAGCCAAAAAAATAATATATATTATATTAAATAATTTCATTCTATCTAATAAAAATTTATTTAAAAATTTTAATATATATATATATATATATATATATATATATATATATGGTGTGTATGTGTGTTTATACATGATATACTTATACATAAATGCATAGAAAATACAAATGCATACACACACACACACACACACACACACACAAAAGATAGTTTATGCAATAAGTTTTAATTGTTTAAAAATTTACAGGAGAAAATGTAATAAATAAATAAATATATATATATATATATATATATATATATTATATAAATAAAATAAATGAATTCAACTTTCTAAATCCAATTTTCTAAAAATTTTATCTTGAAACAAATACAAAAGAGAAAAATTCATAGTTTGCATAATATAATGCAAACATTATATTATATTGTAATTTTAGATAAAACTATATAAAAAATTTTTACATATAAACTTTCCGTGGTTGACAGGTTGGATCATCCATAAATGCGGCAAAATGCCATGTAGCTCTAAACACATCTTTTGGTACAGTATAATGAAACATTGTCACGTCGGAATAACTTTTAAATGAATGAAGCAGATCTTCCTGACTCGCTTGAGGTAATGTACAATAATTCACTGTAAAACATTTATTAGCTTCTTCAATATCAAATTCAGTGTTTTCATTTAAATATTTTTATATTTGCAAAAATATTTGACAATTTTTGATATCATGTCTTACATTTCTAATTATTTTATTGTAATTTAAATATAAACTCTAAGCTTTATTATTCATTTCTATTATCATTGTAATTATAAAATAAAACCATATTATTTTATTTACAATAAATATATTAATATAATTAATATAATTGTTGTTATTATTATATTATTACTGATATTAACAGTTTATTATCACTTTTTTAATGAATTTCACTTTCAAATATATATAACCTCTAAAAAAATGCAGTTTTACGCAGACTATTTCTTATTTCAGTTATAATTTAGTTAATTTTTTACTCGATAAATTTATATAAATAGAATATTTTGTAAAATGTCGAGCAAATTAACAAGATTTACAACATACTATTACATATGTATACACAAAAAATAAACGTACTTCGAAAAAGATCGAATAAAATATTTAAAAGGATGAAAAAATGACGAAACGTCGAATACTGTATTTTGAAAAACATGTTAATATCATGGCACGGCGTATATCACTTATAAAAAATAAATATATATACAATATAGCATATATACATATAAATATATATATATGTTCTCTCTCTCTCTCTCTCTCTTTCTCTCTCTCATCCTCCTCTTTCTTTTCTCTCTCTCTCTCTCTCTCTCTCTCTCTCTCTCTCTCTCATTGGCCACATTCAATGGACTCAACAGTTGCGCAACATTACTAGATTTTCTGATGTACCTCGACGCTGATTGGTCGGACTTGAAAGTAGAGACCAATCATTCGATTACTACTTAGCGGTTGACTCCGCTGAATGCAGCCATTCATTCTCTCTCTATTGTTTGAACGTACACCAAGGTTACGTTTTAAAACACAAGTAACCGAGGAAAATTTTACTCGATAGCTGATTCGAACCAATCGGAAACGCTTAAACGCATTAACGCTTAACCTATGAGGTTTGTTTTTTATTCCTGCACTGGCTGCACTAGTTCAAAAAGTGTACACTAAAGCGTTCGTTATTCCAGAACTGGTGTAACCGATACCGTTCGTTATTCCAGTGCAGGAAAACTTAGTGCACGAGTTCACTGAACTGGCTGCACTAGGTCTGGAGGTAGTGCAAGCAGTGTAGAGCAACCAAGGAGGTGTTTTTTATTCCTGCACTGAATATAGCCGGCAATTTCAAAACTTAAAGGTTAATGTAAGTATAAAAATAGAAGTTTTTTAGATCAAAAAAAATTTTACAAAATTTATATTTCAATATATATATATATATATATATATATATATATATATGTATATATATAATGTTCACAATTTATAAAGTAAAAATCGTTACCAGTTACTGTTGAGTAAAATATTAAATTTGTAAGGTTAGAAAATCTTAATCTGTGAAATCTAATAAGAGTAATTTTAATAATTTTATTTGAAATATATGTATGTATAATATTATGTATAACATTATGTATAATGTGACGCGCCATATTTTTGCACTGCTTTACACTAGTTTACACTGTATCGTTTTCTATTCCCGTCTGCACTCTCAGTTCTCGCTTGCACTGGCTCAGTTCTAGTGCAGAACTAGTTCAGTTCAGTGTAGGAATAAAAAACAAACCTATGGTCTTTCTGCTCGTACATACATCCCACCATAGACTTATAGAATAGACTGGCCCCTATCGTAAGAGGCAGCGTTGAAAGATCTAAAGGACAGAGAGATGATTCCGGGTATCTCTGTCCTTCTCTTTTGTCTCGTGATGAGGATACTGATGGGATGAGTTTCTTGCCTCGATGGACGGGAACCAAAGTTACCAATGAGATACTAGCAAAAGAGACAGACGTATACCTCCTATGTAGTACTTCTCTCTCTATCGTTCGCCTGTCTATCGTGATGTTGGGTGGCACCCATTGAACTATATAACATACTGGAAGTCGCGCTACCATAGAAAGTGGCCGATCCAGCCTGTTAGACAAGGAGGCACTAAAAGGTGATGCGTTCTTTGTTTCTCTAACGTATTACAGTCGATTCGTCTAAAGTTCTCACATCATAGTAGATGAAACAAAACTGTATGTATGTACTATTTTATCACAATTTTAATTTGAAAAAATGATATTTGAACAAATACGTATTACATTGCACATGCTACATTTCTTTAGACTAATGTTTTCAGCTCAGGTAATATGTAAGACGAGGAAAGCATGACCACTTAGCATCTATCTCTCTCGGCTCGGGAATAATAAACAAAACGTATCTTTGCGCGGCTTCCAGTATGTTATATAGTTCAATGGTGGCACCCGATTGACCACGTCGCCAATTGGCCAATTCAAAATAGGACTCTCTGATTGGTTAATCGTTGCTGGTTATCCTAGAGAACCTCTAGGAGAGAGAATGGACAACTGATCATGTGACATGTGATCAAGCTTTTTCATGATTGGCTGGCAGAAAATGTATCAATTTTAGCTATTGCGACGCCAATGCAAAATATGATACAAATAGGTTAATATATGTGTGTCATGTGTGTCCTATTTGTGTGTCATCATATTTTGCATTGGCGTCGCAATAGCTAAAATTGATACATTTTCTGCCAGCCAATCATGAAAAAGCTTGATCAGTTGTCCATTCTCTCTCCTAGAGGTTCTCTAGGTTACCCTAGACACAGGTCGATATAATTGGCTGTGGTCAATCGCAACGTGGTCAAATGGGACGCTCCCCGTGATGCTCAGTCCATTGTATATGTCGATGCTCATTTCGGAATACAGAAAATATGGAGTGGGAGTAGCGAATGTTCACAATCAGATCTGAGTATTCTGAGTGTGAAAGATCATGATGTTTTTATATGTATAGTGCACAAGCACGCGCACTTGTCACATATTTGTTCATATTTATAAACAAGTGAGAGAGAGCGCTACATTGTATAAAATAAAATATAAAATTACATAAATTTTTATAACGCAATAATAATGAGTAAAGTTCTCTTTACAATTCTTTTTTTGATCTTGGCAAGTCAAGGTGCAGTATTTTATTTTATTATAAAAGGGCGTGGCTATCATTTTCTCTCTTCTTTGATGATTTTTGAAATTGACATTAAAATAATAAAATTCTAATTGCAGGCGATAGCTTGTATTGTTACAGATGTAACAGTAATCATCCTGGATGTGGAACACCTTTAAATTGGTTATGGTATTGGGGAGAAACTTGTCCAGAATATGATGACAAATGTGTGAAAATTATTGAACGAAAAGGAGGTAATTATTAATTTTATTTACAGAATAATTTTTGAATATTTCTATTAACCGTGGGAGAATTTAATCTTGAGATTATAATATGGAGCATACATATACATAATTGTGAAATTTTCAGCCGAAACAATTATTACACGTGAATGTCTAAGCTCTGTACGTAGCTTTAGAACAGATATTCCTGCAGATCATTACGAGGGTTGTAGACCTGCTGCTAAAGATGTACGATTAGGCCATTATGTTAATAATAGTATTCATCAGTTAGATATACACCGCGATTATTACGATGAAGTTACTTGGTGTTTCTGTTACTTTGATCATAGATGTAATAGTGCAAAGAAAGCAACCGTTTCAATATTGTTTGTAACTTTAATAATTGCCATAGAATATTTTATATCTTGAGATTATTACTCAATCTCTTACGAAATGTTCAAAAGCACTTTAATAATACCTTCAGAAAGGAAAAATTTACAAGATATATCTATTATTATCTGCCATTATATTACATAGATAATTATGATATTCTTTAAGAAATAATTTAAATGTGAAATTTTGAATAAGTTGAGATTATAACTTCTCAAATAAGGAACAGAGAGTAGAACTTATAGTAGAGGAAATTATTTAGTAGCAATTGAACATGATTGATTCTTACTTTACTTTCAAATCCAGCAAATCAGCATTGAATGTTACAAGAATATAACAGTTTTCTCTGCTGAACACAGCCAATGTTAACAAATAAGAGTAGCTAAAGTTTTAAGTTAGATGTGATACAATAAAGGACAAAAATATGCATCATGTCATCTTTTTTCAAATATTGTCACTAAAAATTACATACAGATTACATATACAGATGGTAATATAAATTTATCCCTACTGATTATATTTAAGTAAAAATATTTATAATTATAAATAAGTAAAACAGTCGTAAATGTTAATAAAATCTACATAAAATATATAAATATAATATTATTATAATATACTCATTATTCTTACTTATGTTTCTTCTTTATAATATTCTTTATGATAAAAAGTGGCACATGTATGTTTTTGTCTCTATATTATATATCACACTGTATTAGTACAAACAGCTTTTAGTTATTATTATAAAATTTATTAACTTGTCATTTGAAAAGAAAAGATTTGAAGAAAAAAAAACATTTTAATATTAGAAATTTTGTTTTTTCAGAATACAATTTATCTTTATCTACTGCATTATATCTTTGTTTCATATTTTCAAGTTATTATTTATTATACATTGGACATCTTGCATAAAATGTATAATTGGCATTTAAAATAAAAAAAAATCAAATAGACTTGTATATATATATATATATATATATATATATATATATATATATATATGTATACACACACACACAAGGCTATTTGATTTTTTATTTTAAATGCCAATTATATATTTTATGCAAGATGTCCAATATATATATATACATACATATACATTCCAATATATATATATATATATATATTATATATATATATATATATATATACATATATATACATTAGGTATACTACATAAAAAAGTAATACTTAACTTTTCTTAATCTTTTATAACTGTATCTCATCTCAAAGTTTATTTTAACATCAATTACATATATATAAATATTATATATTAATATAAACACACATTTGTGTACATATATACATACATTATATATATGAGTATAATTTCATGTTAATATATGTATTAATATAATGTATACTTTTTACAAAACAAAATATTTGTTACATATCGCACAGCCGTCCATTAATATAATAATTTAAAAAAAATTATATTATACAATTTATATATTTTTTTATTTATTTGGGTTCAATATCTGAAATCACTTTATTGTATTTTAATCTATTTTATATTAAATATGTAGAGATTTATAATATTATAATAAAATATTTTTAATAATAAATAATATATATATATTTTTTTTCACACAAACACAATGTGTTAAAACATCTTGTATATATCATTAATCCTGTTACTCTGTTGGCTCCTGACACGCACTTTGCGCCGTTTCTGCGTGTTCCGCAATGTCAAAACGATTTAGGTTTACTAGTTAGTTTAGTAAGACGCCGTCGCGCGCGCACGCGACTGACGGGGGAGCGTTGTTCATCGTTCAGTATTGCTTTCGATCGCGTTTTATGTGAGTGCCACGTATATAATTGCAGTAATGTCATTGAGTAATGAAGATGCGACACCACCGCCGAATAAAAAGATGATGGTAAGTGTGTCACGCAATATCGCTCCTATCGCCTACATAATATAAAACATAATTAAATTAATTTAAAAAAGGAAAGAAAATAATTTGCCTTTATACACGCACACATATGTGTATATGTATATATATATATATATATATATATATATATTATATATACATGTGATTTTATTTCTTCTCATACATATACGAGTATATATACGTGTGTTTTTTTTTATTTCTTCTGTTTCTTATTCTTCCAAAATTTAAGTATTTTATCTTAAATGCGAAAAAATATACACAAGGAGCTACTATGTATAAATGCAAATTAAAATAAACAGCTGTAAGAGAGAGAAGATTTCGAATACTTATTCTGTTGTTTTAATTTTGTGTACATGTGTGTATATAAAACAGTAAGAAATTAAGCGATAATCTGAAAGAATACATGTATAGAGACATCTACATGTCTGGCTACATTTAAATGTTTAATTAATACGTATATATATATATATATATATATATATATATATATATATATATTATAATATAAATAATATATTACAATATAAATAATAAATCTTTTTCTAATTGTGTCGCGGATGAGATGAACCACATAATCACACACACTCACATATATGTCAATTAAAAAGAGATTTATTATTTTGTTGTTATTATTTTATAGATTATCATTTAATGTTTGACTTGTTCGTTATCCATTATTCATATTGTGAAGAAATAAATCTAATATATAGAATGTGAAAAAAATAAGTAGTAGAATTATAAATTACTTATTAACTTATTTTAAAATACAATTTTACTGTCATTATTTTCGAGTTTTTTTTTTTTTGAGATTTGCTATTTCGATTAAATTTCATTTGTTTAAATAAATGAATTTAATTAATTATTTAAAATATACTAAAATTGGAACAAAAGATAAATACTAATTGTCATAGCCGAACACGAAATCATATTCCTTTGTTATTCTGAGAAATATCTCAATTTTCACTTTGATCTAATGTGACATTTGCACATTGAAAATGTCATTGCTTCGTTCGATCGGTTCGGAGGCCGGTTCTTTCGGTTTCTTATTCTATATATATGACGATATAGCCATGTGAGCAATCAAAGTGTATGTATCGAAGGAATAATACAAAAGGAAAGTTTCAATTTATAGAGAAACATCTGATTGTGAAAATAGGGAAATTGGGAATAACAAGGAACAGAATAGTGAGGTTCTATTGTACGTATCTATTTATCTATCTTCTATTTACCAATTCGCAGTGATTTTAAATCTAATTTCTCTCGAGTTGTTACATATGAAATTAATTATTTAACTGGAATAAAATAAATTTAAATTTTTTTATAGACTTGTGCAAATGTATCAGAACAGGCGCATCATGTATCCAGAGCAAAACGGGGACAAGCAATCGGGAATATTCGAGGCTTTCGAGGTTGCACAGTATGGCTAACTGGACTCTCAGGTGCTGGCAAGACTTCCATTTCGTTCCAGGTGGAGGCTATCTTGGTGAATCACGGTATTCCAGCTTACGGTCTAGACGGCGATAATGTCAGAAGCGGTCTGAATTGCAATCTGACCTTTAGCAAACAAGATAGAAAGGAAAATATTAGAAGAGTAGCCGAAGTAGCTAAACTCTTTGCTGATAGCGGACAAATTTGTCTCTGCAGTTTTGTCTCGCCTTTCGAGGAAGATAGACAGATGGCAAGGCAAATTCATAGAAAAGCTGACTTGCCCTTTTTTGAGGTATTTGTAGATACACCCTTGCAGGTTTGCGAAGCTCGTGACACCAAGGGCCTTTATAAAAAAGCTCGGCAAGGCACCATTAAGGGTTTCACTGGCATTGATCAAATGTATGAGAGACCTACAAAATCTGATTTAGTTGTTAAAACCGAGGATTGCACTCCTGAAGAATCTGCCGCGACTGTAATCGAATTTTTAGAGAAGCATCATATCATTCCACATATTGAAAAATTTTCAAACCCGATCAGGGAACTGTTTGTGCCGGAATCAAAACTAGCTTCCACAAAAATAGAAGCAGAAACTCTGCAAAGTGTAGAGATCAATGAACTTGATGTGCAGTGGCTTCAAATTCTGGCAGAAGGATGGGCGTCGCCCTTAACAGGCTTCATGAGGGAGTATCAGTATCTTCAGGTACACCTAATACACACACACATATACACCGTAGTTATATCATGTATATGCAATCTGAGCTCACTAAAGTAAGTTATTTGCTTAAATGAATCAAGTAACTTGTCTACAAACTTAATATCTTATATCAGATATTAAAATTTAATTCAAGGCTCAACATCTACGATGTTTGCTTGAAAATGGCAAAGAAATCAATCAATCGGTACCAATTGTTCTCGCGATAAACACAGCTGATAAGAATCGTTTGGAAGATTCTTTTGCCGTAACCTTGAGACATAGAGGCAAAATTTTAGCAATTCTACGAAGACCAGAATTTTATTTTCATCGAAAAGAGGAGCGTTGCAGTTGGCAGTTTGGTACAAACAACTTGGGTCATCCATATGTCAGAATGATTTATGATTCTGGTGATTGGCTGATGGGCGGTGATCTCGAAGTGTTGGAAAGAATTAGGTGGTACGACGGACTCGATAAATACAGACTTACGCCGAACGAGATTCGCGCCAAATGTCGAAAAATGAAGGCTGATGCAGTGTTTGCCTTTCAATTAAGAAATCCCATTCATAATGGACATGTGCTGCTTATACAAGTATATCATTAAATTTCTAGCAACTCAAAAAGAAATTAATGTATTATGTATTACATGATAAATTACATATATTGTCGTATATCAAAATACTTAAATCTAACATTTCTGTTCATCGTAAAGGATACAAGGAGACGGCTGCTGGAAGAGCAGGGCTTCAAAAATCCAGTGCTTTTACTTCACCCACTAGGTGGTTGGACAAAAGATGATGATGTACCTTTACATACCAGAATCCTACAACATAAAGCAATTTTGGACGAAGGTGTGCTAGATGTCGATTCTACATTGCTAGCTATCTTTCCCAGTCCAATGATGTATGCTGGACCAATTGAGGTGAAATTCTAACCAGGAATTTTATGAGCTCTAATATTAGATTAATTAATTTTATTTCTAGTTTTATTTTTAACTTTAATAGGTTTTTTGCTTCTTCTAATTTTAGTTTTATCTCTAAGTCCAACTCTCTTTTGCTGCTCTTTATATAGTTACTGTACTCTATATTTTATATTTATGTATACACCATTTAAACTTTAATTAATAATAAAAATTTCGAATTATTTTTCAGGTACAATGGCATGCAAAGGCAAGGATGAATGCTGGTGCTAACTTCTACATTGTAGGCAGGGATCCTGCGGGTATACCACATCCCAATAAAGATGCTACGCCTGATGGTAACCTGTACGATCCTAATCATGGTGCCAAAGTGCTGTCTATGGCTCGAGGTCTTCATAATCTCGAAATAATCCCCTTCAAGGTAGCTGCCTACAATACACAAACTGGTAAGATGGCATTCTACGAACCAGAACGGAAGCAAGATTTTGAATTTATTTCAGGAACCAAAATGCGAGGTGAGTACTGATTGCATCATTCTATAATACAAAAAATTTTGTAATATGTAAAATAAAACAATATAAATATTAATAAACAAGTAATTAAATTAACATATTTGTGTGTATATATATGTTAAATTAAGGAAAAATCTCTCTTTCTTTCTTTCTTTTACATATTATCATAATTTAATTGCAATTTAAAATATTGTAATCATTTTGTAAAGACACACACATACTTTTTTGTAAAAAAAAAGTTATTGTAACACGATATTCTGTTATTTTTAAAGATAGGAAATTTAAAAGTTTTAGGAAAAACTAAAATTTTCAAATTTTAACATTTGTACATATTGCAATTTTATAATTATAGTTTGATTGTTTCTTCTATCTTTTATTTACAGGATTAGCGAAAACAGGTCAAAATCTTCCCAATGGTTTCATGACACCTAAGGCATGGCAAGTGCTTGTGCAATACTATCAAAGTTTAGATAAAAAATAAATTTAGGCTTGCTAGGGTAACAAATAGATAACAAGAATTTGATTTTCAGACAATTTTAAAATGAAGTTTTATTATATCTTACTTAAAATGTGTTTTTATTGCAATATTTAACATTAAAAATTTTTTCAATAGCATTATTTTCCATCCAAATTTTGATAATGAAAAATTGATTCATAGTTGACTTTTGAAAATAAGAATTTACAGGTCAAAAGAAATATGGTTTATCATTTTGTGAAAAAGTATTTTATATATATATATATATATATATATATATATATATATATATGCTAACAATTAATTATAATGCTAATTATAATTGTATATGTCAATTAATTATAATTACATATTCTGTATATTAAATTTACATTTATTTAAGTTAAAAAAAGTATGAAAAAGAACAAATGCAAACATTTTCCTATATTGAACATTTTTAAACGGTTTTAAAGTTTGTCTTAAAAAATTGTAATCACTCAACCATATCACATTATTGCATATTTATAACAACATTGCATTACTATATATGTGTGTGCGCGCGTAAAATATTTTTGCAATATGTTTACATTTTTTTTATTCTGTATTAAAAAATCTTATTATCCTTCCTGGAGGTATCATCCAGTATATTCATCACGATTTTATTTCATTCTACAAAATATAGTTTTATTTTGTACAAATGAAAAGTATACAAAAAATATGATATTTTCTATATAGAAATATATAAAATATTAAATAATATAAAAAGATAGATATATATGTAATAAAGTATGTATATATAATGTACACACATTTTACAAGAAAATGTATATAAATACAATGGAGTACTTAAACCACCTGCGATTTTATCTATCTTAATAAGTAATCACCATTGACATAGAAGTTTGCTTTTCATTGATTATGAAAACAAATATATGTCCTTTTAATCTGAATTTTTAAATTTCTTTCTCTTTCCTTCTCTCCTTCCCCCTCTCTCTGTCTGTGCATGTGTGTATTTTATATGTATGTATAAAGTATTTTATATGCATACACACACACACACACACACACACACACATATATATATATATATATATATATATATGTGTGTGTATATGTGTATATATATATATATATATATATATATATATATATATATAATGGATTAGTACATACATATATATGTCCTAAGAATTTTATATTTTTAAAATCTATATATATGTGTTTAAATTTTTCTTTATGTTTAGAAATCTAAAAGTCCTTCAAAATTCTTCTCATTATCTTCATCTCTTTTTAAGAGTGTGTAGATTTATAAAACTTTAAAAAGTATACTTTGGATCTCGATTAGGAAAACTGCATAAAATATTTTATTGCAAAATTACAATATTGCTGTAACATTATTGTAAAGAATTGTAGTAAGATGCTGTCATTTGCAAAATTATGGTAATCACAAAAATTATAACATTTGGATATACATTTATATATTGCATTTATTGCATTTATATATATATATATATATATATTTGCACATATTGTATTTATATATACATATTGTATATACATACATAAAATTGTATTTATTAAAAATATGAAGCAACTGATCTTTTTGTCTCATCTTTTTATATTCTGTTTAAAACACATTTTGTTCAATTTAAATTTATCGAAGACATAGATGCGGCAGCGAAAAATGCAGTTATCTAGATAAAGTTGCTATAAATACTATAAAAACTGTTTTTCTTACAATAAATTCACTATTTTAAATGTTAAATTTTGTTATTCAATATAAGCCTAATTAATATAATTCATGTTCGTCAGTATAGATAAGCGAAACTGCAAATTTTGTGCTTTTTATTGTTAGGGAAATTTAAATTTTCCCTCATACAATACATTTATATAACGAGTGATAAATCTTACAATATTTGTTTCTTTCCCTTAAAATAAAAAAAATGAAATTTCGATACATCTTATAAATATATATGTATTCGAATATATATATATATATAATATATATATATATATATATATATATATATATATATATAAGCATATGAATGAATATACAAATAATTATAATAGCATGCAAAAGAACAAATTAATTTGAATTTAAAAAATATATAAAAAATCAGTTCATCATTTTCTTAACTTGTGTCATATCTTATTTAAGGCGTAATATGTATATAATCCAGCTTAGTTAGTCATCTGAATTATAATATCTGTAAAATGTAAGTATCAATAATGTACTAAAAAGAGTATATAAAGTCTGTTCCTTCTAACTGCTATTGCTAGATTTAAAAAAAAAAAAAAAAAGTATCCTACGAAAAAAGCTCCAAATTTTGAGATGGATGGAACAGAGAAGGAAAGAAAAATCTAACGTTAAAATATATTAATCCTATTATATTCAAACTATAATTTTTATATTCAAACTATAATTTTCTACTTATATTTTCTGTACTTAAAGATGGGTAAATATATTTAATATTTATATTTAAGGGAAAATTAAATATAGTTTAAATAGTCTATTCAAATATAACATTCTAAATATAGTTTAAATAGTCTATTCAATGGATAAGAACCTTTATAACTATAGGTATACAAGTCCCTTTAATTGTATTTTTCTTCATTTTTTTTTTATTCGTGGAGTGAAATAAGTATACACTTAGCATAGAAAAAAAAGAGGAAAATAGGAAAAAGTGTATAATGATAGTAACAATAATAATAACAATAGTAATAATAATAAAATAATTTTGCTTGCACATGTCCAATTGAATTCAGAACCTGCGATATAGATTTGATCAGCAAAAACTAAAATAATGATAATGTGATTATGAGATATATAAGATCTTTTATATAAGATAATACCCTTTATATGAGATAATACCTTTAATAATACCCTTTCGTTCTAAAAGGACAAAAATTGAAAAAAATGCAAATAAAAAGGACAGACTGATAGATTTTAAAGGAGAAATGTGCAACACATTTTGTTCATAAAGAATGATACAAAGATAATGTGATACAGAATGACTTATTTAATATATAACACGCATACATGGCTTTCGACATACACATACGCATACATACACACACGTACAAATGCACAAATACATTATATTTTCTCACATGATTTATACAAAATAGTTTACATACTGTGCTATTCTACAAACTAATTATTTTTGAATTGCCATTTTTTTCTTTTTCGCATCTTATAGTCTTTAATGTTTATAATTATAATCTTTGTCTCGTCTTCTGATCAACTTTCAATCTTCAAGTCTCGTATATTCTTTTTATACAACTTACAATTATTTTTTTTTATGTGTCAAGTTTTTTGTGGCATATTTTTAAAAGCCTCCTTTCCCCTTTGCACTTTATAATCATAAATTTTTTAAACTTTATTTTTACCGAGTTTCTGTCTCTTTTTTTCTTTACATTTTATAATCTTCAATCTTAAAAAAATCTTATATGTTTCTTACAATTTTCTTACAATTTTCTTTCCAGAACTCCTGGTTTCTTACCTATCTATCATATATTAAGAAGTGAGAAATTATGTATATATTTTTTACGATATATGTCAAAATCAATCAATTTTTAGTAGTAAAAAATAGAATCTTAAACTGATTTCTTCAATTTTTTGTTTCTTTTGACATAAGTTCATTGTTAGTTGCTCTGACATTATTCTTTGAGAGATGTTTGAATGAGAATATAAAGTACTATTGTATCCTATAGATTTTGATGGGATCACTGGATATAAAAATTGAAGATTCTTTTTGTAATTTTTCCTAAAAATTAATCTTAGGAAAACTTTTAAAAGAAATCCAGAGTCTAATAACCTTTGTCTTAAATCCAAAAAATATCTTAGAAAGTCTAAGAAAAATATACTGTTTTTAAATCTTGGAGAATTTCTCAAATTTTCTTTCAGATTTCTCCCGGATAAATAAACCCAGAAATTCAGATTAAAATAACCCTGTTATTTTTCTATCGTTTCTTATGTATTCCATCATATTCGAAAAACTAAAACTTCAATCTTTCGGCACTTAAAGAGGCTAAATAAGATCTAAAGGCTTAAAGACCCAAAGATCTTTTATGTGAGTACATTCATACAAGATCCATAATCCGACAATATTAAATCTAATTGTTATACACAATAGATGCAGTTGCGAGATTGACTTCAGCATTCGTGTCGGACAGATCGGGCAAGGATAGCATCACGGGTATTACTTGAATTTTTCCCGTATCGTCCTGCCGTTGTAAATGCACTACAGCGGTACCGGATTGTAGGATATCATTCGTCATAATTTCGTCTGTCATGATTTCAGAACTAGATTCCATATTGTCAGCCGTAACTTCTTCCGTGTACACATTGGAATCCTCTATGTTCATAATCACCTCTGTGGCCTCCGATGCCTCCCTCGAAGTTTCTTCATACTCCTAAAAAAATAATAATATCTAAATAAAAAAAGAATGTAGTAAAAAATGTAATTGAATTATACACTATTCACTTATTTTTATTTATTTATTATCATTCACATTAATATCATTATATATTATTAACAAAAATATATTTATTATTATTCATATTAAATGTTTTTATTTATTTATTATTATGCACATTAATGTTTTATTATATAATATTATATTTATCATTAATGTCTTCTATTTATCTATTTATCTCTTTTCTATTCACTATTGATTTGTTGTTTATTCTGTATGTTTCTGATGTTTTTAACATCTTTACTCAAAAAGTAATCTAAAAATAAAGTTACAACAAATAATTCCTCACCTGCTCATATACTTGTTCGTATTCTTCCGGATCCTCAAACTTTACAATCTGTTCCCGTTCGAATTTGACAATCTGTTCTTCCTGTTCATATTGCTCTCCTTGTTGCTCTCCGTATTGTTCATCAACAATCTGAATGTTTTGCTGATTTACAGAATCCTTGATTGAGCCCTGCTCGGATCCAGAAGAATCATCAGTACGCACTTTTGGTTTGATATTCCTTCCGGGTACAATGCGTTTAAAGCCCGAACCACCAAGACTCTCATGACGCCGCTCATGCTTATTTTTATCGCCGAGATATTTGAAGCGCTGTCGGCATACACTGCACGAATACGGACGTTCATTGGTGTGCGTGCGTTCATGGCAGACGAGGGCACTCACCTGCTTGCACCGCCAGGGACAATATCTGAAAAATTGAACAAACGACGAATATAAATGGTGAGTCAATAATAAATGAATACTAATATAAATATTATTTACTTATATACTATCGATCGCGTTGTTTTTATAATAATAGATAGCCGAGTTTTTTAAATTAAACTAATTAATAAAATAATCACACACATACATACACATACAGTCTACTTAATTTACTTTAAAAATATTTTTTCTGTTTTTCAAAAATAATAATTATTTAGATATAATAATGCGATAAACTATTCTTATGCAGCAAATTATGTAAAAAATATTTAAATTCTATAAATTTCATAAATTGAATTTTAAAAAATTTTTGAATATAAAAATTCTTATAATATAATAAATTAGGTTAAATGATGAAACTTATAAGAATGTACAAAATTTAATCTACAATATACACTTTACACGCAAGTATATTGTTACATTACATTGCAATATAATCTTTTATATTCAAGAGAATTTGAAAATTGGAATTGATTGAATTTATGTCTTTTTTTAATCTTTGAAGTACTATATGTGCTATATGTGTTTGAAAAAGGTTATTGACATAGACTAAGGGCACATACATATGTTTGACGAATTCTTTAAATTATACTCTAAAAATAAAAATTATAAGTGTTTGCTTGTTATTTTAATACATATATATTTATTAAATAACTAAAAAATAACTAAAAGGATAAAGTATCTAAAAAAGCAATATAATTCTAAAAAATTAATACAATCTGTACAATCTGTAATCTTTTTCTAATGAGATAAAAGTTTATTCAAATAGCTGAATATAACATAAAAAATTTATAGACTTTCCTTTAAATTGCACAAACTTTTTGGTTATACTTCTTATCATATGTAACAATAATAAACTTTCCGTCTCCAATAATTGCGGCGCAGATTATGCATCGTTCCTTATTGAGCGCTTAATACTAGAACAATCTGCATTCAAAATAAATTTCTATTCATTTGTATTGAAATTATAATCTATTTACCTGCACTGCAAGGGTCTTACGTCGCTGTGTCGATTTTGATGATGTTTGATCAGTTGGATCTTTGTTTTCAAATTGAAACCGCAAATCTCACAAGTATATGGTCTTTCCTCAGAATGAGAAATCATGTGAGTTTTTAATCTTAATTGATTCACGAATCGTTTCGGACAGTGGGGACACGCCAAAGTGCCTTCGAGACGATTGTGCGCAATCATCATATGATGACGTAGACGCACTTCGGATGTGAAAGTCTCGTCGCAGTCAGTGCATTTCATTGGATCCTTTTCCATATGAGTGTTTTTTATGTGTGTACGCAGTATCATTTCCGTTTTGAAAGTCTTATTGCAGTGGTAACAGGAAACCCGTTTTTTTTCTGGCGGACCAGACTCATCGCGAGTAACACCTACAAGAAAAATTATCTATAAATATTATATTATTGAGATTACACACACACACACACACACACACACACAACTATTATACATATATTAATTATTAATTGAATAAACAAAGAAGAATAATTAAATACTCTCAATGTCCAGATAATTTAAAATAAAATTATATTTTCCTAATTTTTTTTATTAATATCAATGTCAATATCAAACAAAAGAAAACAGATTATAATAAAATACTTAATATAAGAGCTACAATATTAGAGAGATAAATATTTTGTTAATGTATCTTTTTAACAAATATTTTCTATTAAACAAATAGGGAGACTTTTCTTTTAGATTCGAGATTAAAAAAAAGTTCTTTAGTTAGAAAATATTAAATTAGCATTATTTAAGTGAATTTATATATAATTATTAATATTTGTTCAAGCAGATTTAAAAACAGAAGATAAAAATGCCTTAACTTAATATATTTTCAACATCAAAATACACGTTACCTGGCATTGATTCATTATGAATATGTGACATGTGCCATTCGAGCGATCTCGTCGAAATCATTGATCTATTACAAATGTGACACGTATATTGCCTGCCATCCTTGTGCACTCTATTCCTATGAATCACCAAAGTCGAATGATTCGGGAATTTTTCCCCACAAACTTGGCAAGAACATTCTTTTAAACCTCTACTACCCGTTTTCTCATGCACCTTCATATGCAGTCTCAAACCATCCCTTCGATTAAATCCAACTCCACAAGTATCACAACGATATTGTCTTTGATCTTCGTGAATTCTCACGTGTTGCTTTAAGGTCGAGCTATTTTTAAACATCTTATCACAATGCGGACATTGAATACTATAAGCTTTGTGCGTGTGCATGTGTTTAGATAAACTATAAAATGGCACTAATTTTTTGCAAACAGGACATTCCCTCTTGTTTCCAACCGGTTGATGTTTTCTGATTCTATGATGTCTTAAACTTGCAGGATTTTTAAAATCTGCACCACAATCTTCACAAAGATATGCCCTTAAAGTTGTATGTACCGATTTTAGGTGAAAACTTAATTTTTGCTTGAAAGCAAATTTTTTTGGACATTTTGAACACTGATAAATTTTTTCTAAAATCGTATGTTGTGTTTTCAGGTGCTGGTCCAGAGTACCCTGATGTTTGAATCTTTCTCCGCAAACTTCGCAAAGTTGGCCATAAAGAGCATCAATATGTTTTTGTTCGTGCTGACGTTTTTTTCCTCTGGAATCCAAAAGTAGATCGCAATATTTGCAAATTAACTTTCTTACACAAATGACATTATGATTTCTCTTTGCTTTATTAGTTGGAAATTCTTCCTCGCAATCGTCGCAATAATGAAGAATGCGATAGTCATGAATTTTAAGATGTTCTTCAAGAACATCACGGTTGGAAAAAATTTCCGGACAGTAATCGCATTCCAGATCACGTTCTATTGAAAGCAGATTAACAGATGGTTGAATATCTATAAGGTCTGGTAGAGGTTTAGGAGGTAATTTCAATGTGATAGAAAAACGTTCTTCATAGAGAGAGATTACGTCCTCGTCCTTAAGACGAGTAAGAACAATCTTGCGCTGCTTCAAATATTCCTGGAATTCCTGAAATAAAAGAAAAATTGGGGATAAAAAAATAAATATAATCATTAGAGAGAAAATAAAAATAGGAATAAAGAAATAACAAATTAAAATAAGAAATAAAAAAGAAAAAAGCAAATAATATATCAATATAAATAATAATTTATTTGCAAACTCACACACAATTCTAATAGACCACATTTGTATGTCTCTCTTGCAATAAAATATCAAAGTATAATAAAGAAATAAATTAAAAGTTCTAACAATATTTAATTTTTCCTTTGATGTTAGCTCTGTAGATACAATGATGAATTTGCAAAATATTTATATATTTCTTTTCAATGATATAATTACACGAAAATTTTTACAAATTTTAGAAAAAAATTAATTTTTCTAGAATTATTTTATATTACTCTAAATATATATTAAAAGTATTAATTATTTCATAAAGTTAAAAGATCTGTACTTAAAAAGATACAAGTACAATAATTATCATATGCATTAATTTTGATAAGAGTCAAGCTCTCATGCAAGAAATACACTTTATTAAGTCTCATGTTTAATAATTGTTGTAAGAATTGCTTATCCTCTTGCGCTTTTATAGCACAAGAAATTGAATTCTATCAAGATTATACAAAAGTTACCTGCAAATTCTTCTCCTTTTCTCCCAAGATTCTTATCAACTTCTCCAAATTTCCTTCAATATATGTCTCATCTGGTTCCTGATTCTGCAGACTTTCTTTTTTCTGCTTTGTCTCTTCCCACAACTTCAGTTTTTCTCTTGATAATTTTAAAATATCTTCTTTCATATTATCATTAATCTTCTCCTCACTTTCATTGACTTTTTCACTTTCTTCCACTTCTTCTTTCACTTTCTCTTCATCTTCTTTTCTTGAAACTATTATTTCTTTTTCCATCTTTATAGGACTTGATATGGCCCAAATTTTTTCTTCTTCTACTTCTTTTTGCATTTCATTCAAAGTAAAAACTTTTGCTGATTGATTGCCGAGAACTTTCTCTCGTTTCTTTTTATATTCTTCAATTTGTTCTTCAATTATTTGCTCGCGAGCATCAGGGCGTCGAACTGAAGAATCTAGCGATGTCAGGGGTTCATAGCGTTTGAGAAAACGCTCAACAGGTTTGAGATCGGTAGAGGATGCTGTACGTTTTAAATCCATAGGTTTATCCATTTTCTTGACCTACAGATATCAGAAAAATAGAAGATATAATTATGTCAATAATGTAATTACAGACATACGCGAATAAAATGAGATTTCTTGAATTTTAAAAATGAATTAAGATAAATAAAAAAAAATGAAATAATGAGGAAAAAAGTAATAAAGGGAAAATAAAAGGACACGAAATATAAAAAAAAAAATGTTTAAACAAAGTTATAAAATAAAAGGAAGAAATTAAAAGTAGATAAAATGACGATATAAAAAACTTAAAAGTAGAATAAAATAAAAAAAAAAACGCAATATAGTTCGAAATATAAAAAAGATGATTATTATACAAAAATAAAAAAAATAGTAATAGAATAGGACAAGAAAAAAAAAAACATACTTAACAACATAATAAATATGATATTCTTAAGAATACAAAATAAATAAATATGTTATAAAATACCTTATAAATGATAATTAAACAAATGAATAAGTAACGAAATATGATAAAACAATTTTAAAATAATATTAATAATAATAGTTAATACTAATTAAACAAATAAATTTTACCGAATTTTAGTCAATTTGACAGTGAATCATCAACAAACAAACAAACAAACAGATTATATTTAAAACATTCACACATTATTTTCTCTTCTTATTATAAGATACTATCTTACATATTCGCTCACCTTCACCAATAAAATCTCGTTTGGTTTAGAACCCTTTACAGTCACATACATAATTCCATCCTCATGTGAAGTATTGTTCACACTTAATGGATTATTTAGGTCTAACTTTTGCACCTTGCACTCCTTTGGAATACTTTCCACCTCATTTTGTATCTCATCGTTTTCCCAACTTTTTGTTGAGGTTGTTGACATCAACAATCTTCTTTTCAGGATATTTGGTTGTCTTATTCCCTCTTTTTGATTTTCTCCTTCACCTTCTGAAGTCTGGGAAATCCCAGATTTCATGGAGACTATTTCCTCATCTCCTTCCACTCTCACATAAGATTTTGCCAACATGTCATACTTATAAACAGCAGCTGGAGACCTTGAAAATTCTTCTTCTTCTTCATCTTCCTGGAAAGCCGGATCTTCGGGATCAAATTCCTCGATCGATTCTTCGTCTTCCCCCTCTGCTACTTCCTCAAAGATTCCACCGGTCATTTGCGCCCCTTCTTCTTCCTCTTTCATCTTTGGCTCATTATGCAATGAAAAAATTGCACACATTTTGGGAGCAAAATTGTCTTCTTGATTTCTTGTAATTGTTTGACTTTCTTGCTCTTTTGTTAATGATAAAGATGGATTTTCTTGGATTATGGAAAGTGATTGGCGCTCTTGGTTTGTTTCTAAGAAAAAAATTTTTTTTCCCCATCTTTCTTTTCTTTTCTTTTTTAATATTATAATTAAAATATTATATATTTTAGAAGTCAAATTTTCAAGTACAATAAAATTAAACTAATAGATTATATATTGTTACATATAGTCTATACATGCAAAAGTTATCTCCCCTCTCCCCTATCACTCATATCAATAATAAAGAAAATTTTATATATAATATATAAATATTTACTACAAGTTAAAAAAAATATAATAAAAAGAAGAGAGAAAAGGAATGAAAAATACAAAGATATTACCTCGACAGGATGATTGCTTTGTTTGTTTCGTTATCAAAGACTCATTAATCGGTTCCGTTTTTTTTGCGACGTTATCGGTTGTCAAGTTGGTGTGAATGGATTTAAGTTTTACCTCGGCCTTTTTGATCTGCATGAAGAATTTATAACTCATTTTAAGATCACAGATGCAATCCATGCACATCTGAGTAGAAAGGCTATCGTAAGGATTCACTTCTAAATGCTTGATTTGCTGGCTCAATCGCAATTTGATGCCCTTCTCACTGAAGATATCCACCTATAACATGCATTAGTAGAGCAGTTATGGTAATAACAAATAGTAACAATAGTACATCATAGTAACAATCAATAATAAAAATATTCATCTCAAGTCAGTCAGATTATTATAAGAACTATGCTACAGTACTTATTTATAATAAAAAGAATAAATTACGAACTTCCTAGTAATTATTATTATATTACCCTTGCATCATTTTTTATCTTTATAATGAAAAAAATAGATTAATGTGGAAAAAATTCTATAACTATTCACTCTTCTAACTATTCAATTGAAAAATATCCATAAATAAACTTTATAATTTATATTATTGCAAAAAGTATTTTATTTAATTTTTTTAATTTTTCTTTTTTTTAGAAAAATAAACATTCACAAGTTTCTCCAATTTCTTTCCTATTTATAAAAGAAGAATTAGAATTTAAAAAAGATAAAAAAATTATTTCTTTGGAAATTATCGACACTTAATACGCAAAGATCTAATATAATTTTATTCTTCATTAAAAACGATTCATTTAATGTTCATAAGTACTCATAAATACTCATTTTTGTTTTCTGTAAATTTATAGGCTTAAGTAAAGATAAAATGGTAAAATGATTAACATGATGCTTTAAGCACTTTGAAAAATTTATAACAATAACTTGTATATTATTTTTTTTGTTATGTGATAACTATTAAGAGTAATCCTTCTTCAAATAATAGATAATCATGATTATTGAAAGAATAGAATAGATTCAATATTCTGAGCTTCTGGTTTTCTAAAGTACTTCTCTCCTTTACTAATGGCTTATGATTATTATTTATAATTTTCTTTCATTTTATAACACATTTAGTCAACTTTCATAACATATTTAAGGATTATTATACATGAAGTTATTTGTAAGTTACAGGCATATTGTAAATATTTTGATAATGAAGTAATGTAAGTAATTAAGTAAATAGTATGTAAATAGTATATATAAAGTATATATAATAAATAGTATATATTCTGCTGAATAACATATGATAATATATACATATATTATTAGATATTTAATTGATCAAACATGTTGTTTATATTATAGGTTTTATAATTTCATATAATTATAATTTCATATAATTTTATGTATACCAGATTTAAACATGCAGTGCAATATAGCACGAAATATGTTATTAATCTTTTCATTCATTATGTATCTACTTATTTATCTTAGTTACTATAATTTATATATTCCTCTTTATGTATTTTGCATTATTATTTATTTAGAGACGAATATATTTTTTACATTAAATTATATTTTATATTTTCATATATATAAAACTACAATCATGTAACAAAACTGCTATTTAATGTTTGTTAAGAAAAACATACCAAGGGTAATTTTAGACCAGCACAAGTACGGCAATATTTTTTTAATTCTTGCTGAGTCCTCTCAGAAATGGATAACTTGCTCTGCTGTGATTTATTGCTGTTGTTACTTAAGGACGAGATCCTCGTCAACTCATTCAAACTCTTGGCATCTTGTAGTCGAACGCGTGGTGCAATTTTCTTCAGCTCATTGATATCCTTAATTTGGCCCATAATAGGTGCCATTTTGGATTCCCTGCTGATAATGCTACTATCGGAATTGTTGACATTCTGAGGTGGTTCCGATTCGCTATAATTATGATCACGCTTATTGATTTCCGAGTTTGGCATTTTCTTCAGAATCATCTAAATGTGCTTTCCAGCATGTGGTAAATTTTAATCTGATATCTTCTATTTTTTGCTGTAAAATATATAACATCTTTATTATTCTTTCTCTTTGACACTTGTAACACTTGCAATAATAATTAAGATTTAAGAAAAAATGTAAAATATATCAAAATACACACACACACACACACACATACATATATGTATGTAAGATAAAGATATTAGATATAAAATCTTAATTTATTGGTATCGTACAATTAAATCATCTATTTTTTCAACTATTTCTTTGTTTTCTATTTGTATTCTAATAGCAAAATAAAAATATTGTTGTGAAACATCTAATCAAATCATACATGTTCAGAATATTCACTTTACACATTTATGTAGCAAATATATAATATCAGAACTGACAGTTTTTCTTTATAATTTCATTACATATTTTATTTTATATCTATATATCATTACACAAAATCGTCACGGCAGAATAAAATACCTCAATTACTAAAAAATTCCGTGTCGATTGCAGTTCTGCCGCTATGCATTCTGATAGTTTCTATTACAGTCACCTTTTCATTTATGATATATTTCAATCTTGAGAACTATAGAAAGCACTTCATCTTCAACATCAATATTAATAAAGTATCGTGTAATAAATATGTGCAAAAAATCAAAGACTCTAAATAGGATTTACATTCTATTGAGTTTTAATTACAAATTCTGAATGTATACTGAGACGTGTTTTTGAACCAATCACAGCACAGATTCTCTCCACTCTTAGAAATATCCATTAAAATAATTTATTTTTTTGTTTCAAAAAGAATAGAGTATTATCGAAAGAATAAGCCTAATAACGTCGAATATTATGGTTAAATATCAATTCCTCATACGATAAAAAGTTCAATTTAGTGTTCCGTAGAATGATAGATTATCGAGTAGAAAATCAAGAATTGAGGTTAGGTTTGCAAGAAATTAATTTTCAAAGCAAAACGAATATCAACCTCGGAACACCCCGAGCTCCGATGACGCGTTCGTGAGATCCGTACCGCTTCAACACGATAAAAACGATAACAAAGTCTTCGACGAAAGGAAACTCGACGAAACTGGATTCACGATATATTCGATACTTTGTCGCCACGAGTGCCAGATGGCGCGTACAAATGGCAGCCTTACCTTTTGGAATAATATAAGCGCCAAGGACTATAAACATATAAAATATATAGACGAAGCCTATTCTGCGATGATAAGGGAGGGAAACTAACAGCTTTGATGTGTATCGAGCGGCGCGACTCTCGGACTACTCACCAATCACAGGTATATCGCCGAACCGAATCTACTCGAAAAAAACCGAATAAAATCCGCAGGTATTCCGCACGAGATTGCATTTCAATGCATTCCATGCACTTTTACATCAGCTCTGAACTCCTTCCCCCTCCCTTCCTTTTTCTTCTTGGCGACTTGGCGATGTCAACAGCTAATGCTCCATCTATTGCACGCAACTATAAGGACGCATTCGCATCTCGGCAGAAAAGCAAAAGCCAATCGGAACTCGCGCTGGTAGTCACAATTTCTACTTTTTGCTCTTCTAATGTACCACTTACACACTGCTTATTATCAGCGTGAGTTATGATTGGCTTTCCGCTTTTCTGCCAAGATGTGAATGCGCCCTTATGAATAATCTAATGTAATAACCTAACTTGTGCGATGAACTGTTCAAAACGATGTTTAACGATTTAATTTCATTAATCATATATCAGACAAAATATAATTTTTAAACAATTTGTAATATGTCGAACGGATTCGTACATTCTGTTGCAGTCCCGCGTATTTATAAATTCACGGCCGATATTGTACGCCGCGTGCGAGAAGATGGTGCCAGTCCAAAGACATTAATTTACGAGAAGAATCACCCAGTAAGTATAAGATGATTTTATATAAAACGTAGAAATAAAAAAAAAACTTCATTTTACTATAATATATTTATTATGCTATGTAATAATACTTGTAATAATATATTGATTATTATATATTATACCGATATTTATTATACCGATCTCTATATTTAAAATTACTTTTATATTTAAATTATATATTACCATAATGTTATTACATTAATTTTTATTAATTTTATATATTGTATAAAAGTTTTTAACAAGCTTTGTTTTAATACTTTTATGTGTGTGTGTATGTGTGAGAGAGAAAAGAATTTATAAAAAAAATAAACATACTAAACATTTCAAGGACTTTAAGTGTTTAAAATTTTCTTTATTGCAAAAAAAATTTGGAACACTTAAAGTCCTTGAAATTTTTTTTACTTTATGTAAGGAAGAATAAATACTAATTCAGAATAAAAGAATCATATATGCAGATGAATAAGTACATTGACAAAAATATGCTTCTTGTACATTTCAGTGTAATCTAATTACGTTTGTATATTGCAAACATTTTTTATTAACAAATTGTCATCCTTTATGTCGCACAGATAGATATTGTGCTTTATGTCTCTATAGATAGATACATATATACATATGTATGTATATATGAAGAACAGCTTAATATAAATGTTTAAATATCTCATCAATAAAATATTTAACACTTTAATTGAATTCTTTTCTTTTTTTCTTTTCTTTTTTTGGAAACAAAAATACATTTAAAGAAAACAAAGACTATAACAATATAATGTATTTCAACATTTATTTTTTCAAGATTTAAAGAGATTAACTTTTTTTATTTAAAATTATATATTTTAAATAAAATAAACTCTCCACATATTTTTATAGTGAGGTAAACTCAACTGATAAATATTTTTAATTGTTTATTACAGTTATTTCAATAACTTTATTTATTTTAATTTATTTTGTTATATATAAATAAAATATGCTTTTTTTTTTTAATTTTACTTTAATAATTACTATTGAGCGAAATTTGGTAGTCTATAAATTATTAAAGATTATTCAAATTTTTAAAAAACGCATAAATATGTTATGTATTATTTTTGTTTTTTTTATATTCTCATTTTTTACAAAAAGAATATAAAAATATTTTATTCCATATTAAAAATATATATTTTCATGTGATATCTCTTTTTTTGCTACTGATATAAAGGTACCTTGTATAATATTTAATTAACAAAAGAAGAATATAGATTTCATATGTGTCTTTCTCTGCTCTACCTTTGCAATATAGAACATATCTGGTATATATGGTCTCTCGATGAATACCTTGCGAATGCTGCCTCATTTAGACCAACTTTTCCACAAGACCCATATTCTCACAGAGCAACCACGTTTGGATCCCTGGTTAGCTAAAGTCCTCGTAACGGAGCTTCTATGGGGCAAAAAATGCTTAAAGAGCCACTCCAAACCAGTTTTAGCTGTGTTAGCTTATGAGAAGAAGTTGCAAGAAGAGTTGAAAAACCTCAACTACATAGAGACTTCCATCTCTTATAAACAAAAAGGTAATTATATCATTTCACTGTCAATAATCACGACATACTTGAATTTTTTCAGAGATTTGATTTTCAAAGAATCATCATTGCGCAGTAGAGATCTTTTTCTTCATGGTCCTGATTATTCGCAACTGCAGAATATTGTCCAGTAGACCAAACAAAGGAGCTGGAGTCAAAAACTTGTGCCATCACCAAAGATCCTTTCATCAGGATTTGATTTGTAATAAAAAGAATAACTGTATCATGAGTCTGATGGAAGTTGTAGGAACATTGTTCCTGTATAGTATTGCCATGTTTACTTTACCATTTGTTGCCTTTTTTGGAATACAACATTTTATGACATTAGAATTTCAAACCGATACTTTTACGACTAATTGTGTTTCTGTGCTGGCTGCTGTGATCACAGTAAATTTGATTATTTCTTGTTATGCTTATCAGGCTTTGCACGAATCAATTGAAGAGAAAGAACAGAGTGAAGATAAAGTGGAGTTTAAAGATAGTTTAAATAAGAAAGCAGATTAAAATAACTTTCTTTTTGACAAAAATTTTAGAGATTATTCTAAATTTTTCATATTATGTTAAAAAAGGCAAACTTTCTATTAGTTAAGCAAAAATATTTGTGCATAATATTGCACAATTGATGTGTATGTTCGTGCGTGCGTGCGTGCGTGCGTGTGTAAAATTAATCATAGAAATATGGGAAAAACTTTATATATAAAAACCTTAATAATTAAAGGAAATGAAGTATTTTATAAACAACAAATATAACACATTAAATATATTAAAAATAATATAACACATTATATATATTAAAAGTGTAAATTATGATTCTTCTTTGTTAACATTAGAAAGGTATATGTAATATGTGTACTAATACTGTAAAGATTTATTGGTTTATATAAAAACAGTTGAAATTATTTTGGTTATGGTTGATTTATATAAAAAAATAAATATTAATTCTTGTTTCAAGCTTGTTCTTTTTAGTGCTACATTAAAAATTTGTTATTCTCAAAATAATAATAATATATAATATAGAGTAAATAATAATATATAATATATAATATAGAGTAAATTATCACAACAGAAACATAGAACGCCTAATTATTTCCCATTTAAAGATGTAAAAAATTGTATAGACTAGACTAAATATATATATATTTATACTTTAATATTTCTCTTAAATTTGATAAAAAAAATTTATAGAATATAATTTAGACTATTTTAAATACTTATAATTATTGACACTTTTGTGTGTGTGTGTGTGTGTGTGTGTATTATATATATATATACATACATACATACATATATAAGTGTCAATAATTAATAAGGTAATAAATAATAATGTAACTAAAAATTAATTTATTATATTTTTCCTAATCTTTTCTTACTCTTACAAAATATTTCTTAATTTTAAATAAAAAGTTAATTGTAAAGTGATCAGATTTAAAGCACAGTAAAAGTTTCTTGTTCATTTTCTGCACTTAATTTTAATTCTTCTCAATAAATAAATGTTGATCATATTTATTTCATTTTAACTGCGATGCAGTAGTAAATTATTGGATAAAATATTGGATTTTATGAAAGAGGTGGATCATTCACAGTCTGTAGAACATATAATATCAATGTATATAATGTACAAATTGTAATAATGTGTAGATGTATGCATTGTTTACAATCTCTTCTAGTACAGTTATGTTTCAGAAACTTTCTCTTCTTGTTTGATAAATTTTAATATTTTTTCTTAATTTGAAAAGGAAATTTTCTTCTAAAACTTTCTGTTTTAAAAAATAATGCACTTAAAATTTTTTGCTTATTTGTTCTTGTCGATAATTTACTATACAATATTTCTCAGATTGTATTCTAAGATAATGTAGAAGAATAAAATTTTATTACTATATATGTATTTATTGCCATTACATTAACGAGGAATTCAACATATATCTATATATTCTATATCCCCAAAAAATTATAATGTGATTATCAATTATTAAAATGATGATACAATTATTAAAATGATATATATAATTATCTTTTTTTTTTGCAGTAAACTTTGGAATCATCTTTATTGTTTATAGCCATAATATATACATATAAAAAATGAATTATTTATTATAATAAGATATATTATAATGCAGAAAGAAATCTAATAAAAATAGGAAATTAAGAAATGTCTTTTTTCCACAGTGCGAAAACCTCGATACGTTCGTATCAACACTCTTTTAATATCAGTTGAGAAAGCCATCTCTTTATTCCAAAAGGAAGGATGGAAATTACTACCCAAGAGCACAACATACTCCTCATATCTGCGGTCCTTATTACAATTATCGAAACCTTATTTTATACAAGATTTGCATATACCGGAAGTGTTTGCTTTTCCGTCCTCAACATATTTTCACAAACATGCCAGTTATAAAAATGGCGAAATCATCCTTCAAGATAAAGTATAAATGATAAGATACTTTTATATAAAAACATATTTTTTAAAATTCTTATTTTAATTTAATAACATTAAATATATTAATAATTAATTTAATTATTTTTAAATGTATTTATCGAGAAATTTTTATTTTTATATATATTTAATATTAATTTAGCATGTGTGTGTATATATATATATATATATATATATATATATATATGTATGTATAAATTTTTTTAAATTATTATTAATACTTTTATTTATTATCTTTATTATATAGTTTTTATCTCTTTTAGGCTAGTTGTTTGCCGGCACATTTGTTGAATCCAGTTAGTGGTTCCATAGTGCTAGATATGTGCGCGGCACCTGGTATGAAAACTACTCATATAGCAGCAAAGTTACAAAATTATGGGTATGTAATTTGTATATATGTGTGTGCTGCGTGTTTATGTATATATACGTGTGCGTGCGTGCGTGTGTTTTTCCAGCAAACACAGAATATTGCGGCAATATTACAACATTGCAGCAATGTTGCGGCAATGTAGCTGCAATATTTTGGTTTGCTGGATTCATATAGAATCTGTTATATCAAATTGTAGATCAAGAATAAAACTACTCTAAATCTCTTTATTTTTAAATACCATATAACATATAACAAATTCTAATTTTTTATTTAATTTTAAGTGGACTTATTCACATAATTTTAATTTGAGACTTAATTACTGATATTTAACATTAAAAATTAAAACATTAAAAATATAAAATAATAAAAATTTTTGAAAAGGAAATATTATGATAAAGAAATATTGAAAATTGTGAATATATAATAAAAAAGTATTTAAATATAATAAAGAGATATTGAGAATTTTTAATATATATATATATATATATATATATATATATATATTATATATATATAATATATATAATTTTATATATATAAAATTTTTAATTTAATATATATAATTTTTAATATAAGAAATTTGGAAATGACTCATAAAATATTTTATTAAATAATTAGTTTTATATCTTTTATCATGTTTTATTAATATTATATCTACAAACACATTCTTTTTTTTTAATAAAATTGTTTAAATTTTTGAATAGATAAGTCCATAAAAATACCCATAAATTTTTTTTTTTCAGACAGATTTATGCTGTGGAAATCGATGCTAAAAGATTTGAAACTTTATTCAAACAGATAAAGACAAGTCATTCCTTCTGTGTGAAACCTCTTAATCAAGATGCTCTAACTCTTGATCCTAAGCAGTATTCACATGTGGAATATATTCTGGTCGATCCAAGTTGTTCTGGATCAGGTAAAACTCGACATTCTATCTTTTAAATTAACAATAAAGGAATTCATTAAAGAATTCATTAAAGAATTTGAAAACAGACATACAGATTTTTTTTAATTAATAAAATTAATTTTGATTAGTAAAAAAGAGATTCCTATTACAGATATTATAATCATTCCTTTGAATATATTTTATTTTAACACTGTAAAATATAAAATATTATAAATAAATAAAAATTTTCATAATATATACATAAAGTAATTTTTATCACAGGTATTGTGGATAGACCAGAACAAAGTAATACGAACAATAAGCTTTTGTCAAAGCGCCTGCAAAATCTACACTCATTCCAAGTTTACCTTCTTAGATATGCGCTATTTAATTTTCCGAATGCAAAAAGAATAATCTATAGCACCTGTTCTCTTTATCCTGAGGAGAATGAAGAAGTAATAGATGAAGTTCTCGCTGATATTGGCAATGCTTATTGCTTGGTGCCAGCTAAAGAGTTATTGGGAAATAATTGGACAAATTTCAGTTCCAAAAGATACAATTGTGCAGATAAATGTTTGTATTCGAAGCCCAATATTGATTTTTGCAATGGCTTTTTCGTGGCGATATTTGATAGAAATTTCGATGTGGCACTGCCAGAATGCAAACGTAAAGGAGGTAATATAAATTCTACTATAGCAAATTTGGATATAAAAAAAAATGATATGGTGGAGAAAATTGAATGTAAGCAAAAACAAGACAAAAGAGAGAAGGAGGAGGAGCAAAAAATCTCAATGAATGATGAACAAATAAAGATATCAAAGAATATTGAATTTGCACAAGAAAACAAAGTAGAAAATGGAGTAAAAGCAAAAAGAAATAAAAAAGATGTAAAAAAAATCGATAATTGCTTTTTATCAAATTTGAATCAGGAAGTAATAACATTGAACAGGCCTGAAGATATTCAGATGAAGATATCAGAAGATATGAAGCGAAAAAGGTTAAAGGAAAAGAAAAGATCAAAACCTGAAAATCTACCTTTTATAGAAAAAAATAAAGAAATGATAAAAGTTAGTGACTTTAAAAAGAGAAATCTAAATGAAAAAAACAAAATTGAGCCACCAAAGAAGAAAAAGAAAAAGAGAAATGAGGAAATCCTAAAAATTGCAAAAGAAGAAAAAGAAGGGTAAGGAAATCTAAAAGTTGATAAAAATCTATGCTCGAAGAACAAAGAAGAAGATAGAGCAAAATAAGCAAAAATATCAAGAAGCAAATAAGAAAATAATAAAAATTAATGATGTTAAAGAGAAAAATCAAAATGTAACAAATTATGATTAACAATGATTAAACAATTTGTTAATATTAAAATAGCAAATATAGGAAGAAAACAAACATTAAAAAATTAAGTTTAAGAAAATAAATAAAAAGCTGTCAAATAAAAAATAAATGTTTGGAAAAAGACATTTCAACATATTTTTTATTATGTTACTATGTTATTCGATATATTTTTTTATTACTTTACTATTATGTTTTTTTTTACACTTGGGAATATTTCTTGAAAAAAAAAGTACCAACAAACTAGTAGATCTCACCTGAAACTATTGTTTATATAGAAAAATTTACATAATTTCATATTTTTAGATAACCTATTCATTTATGGAACTTTATTTTTTAAATTATATTCTTTGTGTTTCTCTTCAATTTTCCTCCATTTTTTCTCCAACACTCGATATATAATAAGTATATGCTGACAATAGTTGTTTGCATTTTTTATTTTTAAGAGAGAGAAGATAATAGTATTATATTCCGTACAATCCTTCCTGTGTAAGGATATAATGTATACGCATATTGAACTGTAATTAGAATAAAAATACTTAAATACTTAATAAATAAACTTATTTTGTACAATAATTTCTTTCTATGATAATAATTGTCTTAACTTACGAAAAAAGAAGAGGATTTTTCATTTTTTAGAAACTTTTATTATCAATATGTGAAATAATAATATATTCATATCTGCTTTTAAAAAAATCAAAGATATTTATTCAAAAAACCGCTTTGTATCAATAATTTTAAATATAATACAATATTACGTATTACTTGCTTGTAATATAATTATACTCATTTTATCGGCAATCTGCGACACCGCAACACGAAAGCTTGTTGACCTCCTTAAAGTCAACTGATAAGCACATCGATTATAAATGTAATGTATGTATATATGCATATAATTGCGGGGTGAAATAGTGTTTTTCTGACAAAATATATATTAGATCTAGAATGAGGTATAACTATACAATAACAATATTGATTCAGTTGTCTAGTTTTTATTGGTCCGCTGTAAAGCATAATATATTTAAATTGATAAAATCACTATACATATGTATTATAAATGTCGAGAAATATTGTTTATTAGAGAGCGGTATGAGATTCAAAATACTACTATATAGCATTAGTTAAATATAACATATAATATATATATATGTACACAAGAGACTTTTTTTATTGGAATGATGGATAAAGGAAGAGAAAAAAACTAAAATTATCATATTAAACGTAGTATGCAATAAGATTGTTTCTTTATATTTTTAGATCAAAGAGCGACTAATATTATCGGATATTACATACACGTGCTGTCATTCGACCAGTTGCCTAATATATGTATGTAAGTGTGTGTGCGCGCGCGCGTATATATGTATATAGATATATATAGGTACAATTTATATTTTCTTACACGTACCGTGTGCGCGTAAGAATATGAAGATAGTTGGATTTTTTAATCCGCTGATATGCTGAAATATTTAAATATCTAGATATGATGCGCTCAATTCTAAAATTTAACGATAGAACGGTGCACATATACTATCGTACATTTGTCTAGAACATTTTGCATTTAGTGTATCTCTTTCTGAAATTTAAATCCGGTGCAACAAGTTCCGCGTTCACTGACACCGGGCATCGACGTCGCGACGAAGAACGACGATGGAGACGGTGAGAGAGGACATCGACGGTTGCCGGCGGCGCCGAGGTTGCGCGACCACTCGACGTCGGGACGCCATCGTCGAAGGACGCATGAATATGTATACTGTCGTCGCGATTGTAGCCGATTGAATTTCAACGCAAAGGCGATTCGACCGCGATTCGTCCGCACATAACATGGCCGTGGCAAAATATGCCATGATATTAATGCTGATCATCAATGATTGCAGCATAGTGTCAGTGAACTTCTATGAATTTTAGAATCTTTACTTGGAGGATACTTTATTTTTGCGACTTTATCCGTCAACCAAATCAAGTGAGTGTAAAAAATTTATAATGCGCTTATTAGACATTTTTTTTTATCATATGTATATTTATATTATCTAATTAATTTTTGGTTAATTTCTTTTTCTAATTCCTAATCATTATCTTTTCGAAAAAAATTATAATTTAAATAAAACTTTTTAGCTATTACAATACTGTTAGATATAGTTTCAAAGTAATTTTTATCGATCAAAATAATCATCGTTGACATTTTTTCCAATTGAAAACGCTTTCCAATTCATTCCAATCCATTCTTTTTTTAATACAATAAAATTTATAGCCTCTTGTAATGTGAAAGTTTACACTTTATATATATTTAAATAGTGATTTTTATATAATAATAATTTTGAAATAATAATAAATAATTTAAATTATTGTCAAAATGTAGAGGTTAAAATTATTTAAACATTGTTTAGAAGAAGAAAAAAAGAGATTTGCTCGAAAGTGAGAAAAAAAGTAAATGTATGCTCTATGAGAATTCTCCTTTATATTATTTTTAAATCAGATTAAATAAAACAATTTTATATTATGTGGAAAGAGAAGATAAAAGTTTCTTACTCGACTTTAATAAATAATTGTTTTTGTTTGTTTTTTTTCTATGTGGTGACATTGCTCTGCTTCTTAAAGATTCACAATTAATGCGCTGTATCGTAAGTTTTAACAAGTATGATTAAATTATCTTTTTTGACTGTAACTAGTTTTGATACTATTCAAATAACAAAGTAGACAATAAGAGCTTGTTAAAGTATTTTAAAAATTTATATTTAAAAAAAATTGACATTATGTTCATACATTTGCGTGTGTAAATTATCTAAAAAAGGATTGTACAAAAATATAAAAATATAATATAATATAATATAAAATATATAATATAAAAATATTTAGCACAGGGGAATTAATTAGATTAATAAAAATAAATTGAAAGAAAGATAAATTAATCATATAAAATATTTTTATATTTTATACAATAAACGCAAGGTTGTATATGTGTTGCAAAAGATTCTATATGTTGCCTCTATTATAAAATGAAAAATTATTAATTATTAATATTTCAAGTGAAACTAGAAACATACGATTCTTCTTCTCTTGCATAAATGAAAAAATCTTTCTTTTGAGTTGCATAAACTGATTTGAAATGAGAATACACTATTGCCATAACATACTCCATTTAAATTTATTACTTTTGTTAGTTAAAATGACAGAATAGTCGCTAAATAACACAGAGGAAACGCGAGATGAGAAACGAGCGCATAAATCAGCGAAAAGTAGTCGACACTATTTTGCATTCAAGGGAGGTGCGGTCACGCACGATATGTTTTGCGCATACAGAGACTAATGAGAAGATAGTTGATCACGAAATTTCAACGAAGAAATTCGACAACTCAAAAAATATATAAACATATGGTTCAGATTCATAATAACATGGACATTCTGGCACATTAAAATGTATATATTGCGTATAAATATAAATTTTCTAATTTTCCATTCTTCCATAAAAACTTATAGTGACAGAATCGCAAGAAACTCAAATCATTGGCGGGTTTTGACACTTTGAAACCTATCTAGATATGCAATGTAATTTTTGGAGATTTTTTGCAATAAATAAGGTCCTAATCGCACCTTTAATGAACAATCCACCACTAATTAAAAAGTACTCTTATGAAAATAGTATGTTGCATTTTATTGCAATATCTAATATTCGATTATCGGAAAAGATTTATTTTATAAAAGTGTTTCATGAAACTTAACTAAACTTTCGATAACAAATAAAATACAACGTAATACATTTTCACAATTCACATTTTAGGATTAGAAAAATACAGTATGAAATTATTACGCCCCACATTTACGTTTGCGTTAATGATATATGTGATAAAAGAAAAGTTTGATTTGAGAATTGAATATTAGGTGTGTATTCGGTTATACATCGATTACTTGTAAAGGGGGTGAAATTATGAGTTATTACCGACAAAACACGTAGATATTATACATGATGATCGATGGATCCGTAGTGCGAGCTGCAGTCGCGAAATAAAAACGACTTATCGATCGGGAATCCTCGGTTATCACGCAATACATGATTGACTGATTACTTAAATGGTATCCTCAAAGTGGCGAGATCGTGGCATTCGTGCTTCCATGTAAAAAAACCTTGAAATTTTAAGACACGCGCGTGTTCCACATCTGCTTGCGAATCATTTTCTGAGTAATTATTACACGCCAGAAATACAAAGGCAAAAGTTCCTTAATTTTTATAATAATTTGCACGATACATCTCAACAATTCGATATTGCATTTGTTTATTGTTTTTTTTTATTTAATTTATCATACATTCGTTAAACTTTGGTTAATTAATTTTTTAATTCTAAATTTAAACTTTTAGTTTTTAATTTTCAGCATTACGATACATATTTCTCATCATGTATCGCAAATACAACGGAGGAGAAAATTCATCAATTCGATAAACAAACTCTCTTTTTTCTATCCGCGCAGACCAAGTAAGAAAAGAACGTGTATGTACAAGTGGCGGCGGCCTCACCCTTGCGGATGATCGAGATTGAAAATCAGTCAGGTTCGCGTGCCGATAGATCGAGGGAGGGACAGAACAAGAGCGGAAGTGACGGTGATAACAACGGAGTCGATGATGCAGATGCGATCACTGCGACAAAGTTGAAGGAAATAGGTGAGAAATCATTTTACATCGCTCTCAAGATCTTATCTTATTATTATTATCATATTAAGATGCAATTTCATTGACGTTAAAAAGTAGCGTCAATGAAATTGCACCTTTATGTACGCGGAAGGGAAGGAAGGGAGATGGTTTAACAATTAACCTAACCTAATCTAATCTAAGATAGATTAAACTTAATTAAATTCAAATGCAATTTGTGTACGTTTTTTAAATTAATGTTATTTCTTTCCGAGCAAGATCTTTCCGCTTATATATATATATATATATATATATATATATA